AATGACTCGGCGACTCGCCCTTCTTCTGTCTCATCGTCGTTTAGTGGTTGCCTTCAGCATCTTCACGTTCTGGATCATTGGGTGGTATGGTACAGCCTTATGGAACTATTCAGCGAAGCGCCGATTGCTCCTTTCATCGCCTTTTTTATCCTCTTCCTTTAGGGCTTCGTATACTTGAACAAAGGGCGGGGTTTGTCCTTTCAGCGAATCGCCAAAGGTTCTTGGTGATGCTCAGGCTTTAGCTTCTTCGTTCTTTTCAGCCTTTTTACTCCTTTTTGCGCCTAAGTGCCCATGCTTCCACTAAAACTTCAAATACCTTAAACTTAAGAGTTTTCATCAGATATTGAGATAAAATAAGCATTCAAGGACACTATTGCTATCAAAATAAAGCCCTAAATGAGTCCAATTTGTGGACTCATCAACACCTCCAACTTAAACTTTTGCTTGTCCTCAAGCAAACTTAAGTTGAGTCGTTCAAAAAGGGTGTCTCAAACAGTTCTACACAAGACTAAATCATGATTACACACAACAAGACCCAATTTATTTATGCAAGGATCAATTGTGTACTCAAAGATTCAAGTTGTGACACATCATTGCCAAAGATTCTCATGCTCGCAATACTTAATACTTGTGCAAGTTGAAGCTCAACAAAAAGTATCTAAATTCCCTCACATAAAGAATGATTCCATATTCACACAAAGAGGTTAATCAATTCAAGATCAAGAATCAGATGCAATGCTCACACTCAAAAAGAGGAACACAATGCATGTTTTCACCCATAGGTTTGCCCTTTTTTTTCCAATCGACTTTCGATTCGGCTTACTCAAGATCAAAAAGGTCTTTCTAAGGCTTGTAATGGGCTGAATGTAAAGGTATGGTCATTTAGGCTTAGTGACTTCTTCATCATGAGATGTGGTACTCTCAAGGCATTCCCTTCTTTTCCGCTATCAATTCTTTTTCTAGTGCTTTTAAGTCACCTTTTCATTCACCTTCATGGATTCCTTTTAAACCTATTTCCTTCGTACTTTATTCCATATTTTTTTATTTAAAGGGGTTTCCACTTTTATGCAATACCATGGGTTAAGGGGGACTTTTCTCGCACTTCTTGACTTCTCCTTTTCCTTTTCACCACACTCCCAACTTAGGCTTTTGGCCTAAGTTGGCTATTCGCTAAACCATAACTCAAGAGAATTGTAGGTAGTGGGTCAAGTAAGGTCTAGGGTTCATCAAGGTTCTTCCAAGGAAAGGTAAGGCTCAAAGGGTGTTCAAAAGAGTTTCACACGCTCACGGGTAGGCCACAGAAGAGGATATGTCAAATTTGGCTCACACTCTTTAAAGTTGCCTAAGATCATTTCAAGAGTACACCTTTCTAAATCAATCAGACTAACTGGGCAAATTCTAGGTTTATTCATGCATGTTTCAAAGTAAGCTAATCACACAAGGCATCGACACTTAAGTCAAACAAGACCACACACTTTCGCTAGTGTGTAACGACCATTACAAGAGAATCAATTCGATAAATGGCTAATCACAACGAGATGCAAAGAGTTCACATATTGTTTGTGCAACTTCATTTGGCCTCATCGTAGCCATACATTCATGTTCGTTCAATTGAGAGCACTATTCAAGTCATTGGTATTGATCAAAACCGAGACTCAAATTTTTGCAAAAGAACAGCCATATTCAACTCACGAAGTGTGGAAAATATGTGTGAAAAATTCAAATTTTTTCGGAGAAAGGTCAAAATCATTTTGCAATTAAAAATAAGTGGAGACACAAGCTCAAATATCTACAAAAGTAGTGTAAAAACAATTTTAAACAGAACAGCCCAAATGCACGCCAAAACCCCAACACACAAGGTGTGGGCCTCACCCCACCAAAAATAAAACCATTTGTCCTCAAATGCAAGTAATAAGAATCCAAAAGTAGATGTAAGTAATATAGAGAGGAGGGTAGATAAAGGTCCTAACTACGCAGTCTCTCTATCTGCTGGGGCATTATTTTCCGGAGTAGTCTCAGATGGAAAAGCAGTGCCAGATCCACTAGGGGCTGCTGTGGACGTAACTGTCTCTACTATATTTGGCAGATCTCTGAATATGCTCGCATCTTGGCTCTCTTTTATCTCCTCATCAATTTCTACATCCGACTCTTCCTGTGCTGCACTATCCTCTTGCACATCTCCGGTGGTCACAGGAACATCCTTATCATCTGCTCTCTCTATGAGTGAAGTGAAGTCGGTAGACTTAAGGTAATCTACGTCCTTCCTCAAACTTGCAATCTCAGCTTTTAGGGCCGTCACCTTAGAGGTTTCCCTTTGTCTTCTCTCACAAGCCATAACTCTCACTGTCAAGGCATCAACAGAAGTCTGAATGGGAGTAAGTTCTGCTAGTATGGCCCTGTCAATCATCTCTGGAACATACCTTTCCAGTCTGGTAGCTCTCACATCAACTGAATAGGCCAACTGCCCCATCTTCAGGATCATGGGCTGAGTGATTCTTGCAGGCTGGGAGGATGAGGAAGCACCTGGATCCTGTGAGGAAGAAGTAGCAGGAGCTGGTATACCTGAGGGCTCAGATGTCGGGGTGGACGAAGGTGTAGCTGCCGAGAATGAGTCAACATTGACCTCTGGAGAAGTATCTGTTGGGTTTGCTCTTCTCCTATCATCCTTATCACGTGTAAATTCTGCCTCTATACTCCGGATATCAGTGGAGAAAAATGGAGTGACTTCTATATCGCTAGAAGGCTCTCGGGGTACCCCAGCACTCTGGCATAACTCAGTAATCAGAATAGGAAATGGCAGGGATGTATGTGTCTGTTTGGCTCTCAAAACCATCTCCTGTGAAACTAGCAGTCCCAGGTCGATTTGCCTCCTAACCATGATAGAACCAAGGTAAGCCACCTTAGGATGACGTAGGATGGACTTCTTCTGGGATGGCATGATAGTGCTGCTGATGAAGCCAAACCAGTACCGGGAGGTGATGTTCATATCCCTCTTCTCAATATGAGCTCCCACATCCAACCACCTCGGGGTGATGTCAGAAATCATCAGAGCTAACCAACCCTTCAAATCATTCAGGCCAGAACGATAGGCAAACCCTGGTAGGGCAATACCTAGTGCAGCGGTCAACCCAGTACAACATTAATATGCTCGCTATGATACTCAACTTCCTTGCCTCTCACCAAAACCGAGTTCACTGATCGAAACTCACTAGCCTTTTTCTTATTTTTTGGGACCAACTCCCCATATGCTAAGTAGAATTCCCGAACCCAGGAAGGAATATAAGGGCCCCGAGGTCTAGTGACCTGCTCGAACTCATGATACAAGAGCATGTCAAGCACCTCAGCATGCTCAGCTTCCAAACCCTCCACCGATAGTAACTTTTCTTCTAGAATGGTTCGTAAACCATCGCCTTTCAATCTGTTCAGCAATCTGGGTGGTGGTGGAACTACGGGGCAGGGGCCTTTGAAGGTGGTGCCGGGGCTGGCACTGACTCAGTGGTCGGAGGAGTTGCAGCTGATGTAACTCTGATAGGTGTTGATTGAGGTCTCTCCCTGAGCTTATTCTGCCAGTGAATCAAGGGTTGTTCATCTTCTGGATCAAAAAATTCTGGCTCAATAGTTTACCCTTTTCTAGTGATATGCTTCGTTCGTTTACCATTATCTCTCGGTGGGAGATCTTGCTTTGTTTTCTGTGAAGGAAGTGATCATCCTTTATTAATTGTAATTCCCGTTGCCTTTTTCTGAGTTGGTGCATTTAGGTTTGTGCGTACCATATCTGCAAAAGTTTGTGATTAGTCAAAAAAATAATCACACTAAAACACAGAACATCTGAAGCAGAAAGGTTCGCCGATCAATCGGCGAATCGCCAAATATCTTTACCAAGCTTGGTCGAACTCGCTGAAGGGATAAGCTTGAAATCTAGGCAAATAAGCAATGAAAAAGTCTATTCGGCGAGATGCCAACTACTTTTGGCGATGACGAAGTAGTCCGCCAAAAGATACAGTGAAAGAGGGTAGATGAGGCATGCGAAAAGGGGTCTAAAGTCCTAATGGCGAGTCGTCGACTACCTTCAGCGAACACAGATGTGTCCGCCGAAAGTTACAGATCTCTCAGCACTATGGACATGAATGAAGCTTCGGATCACAATAAGTTCGGATCACACATAGCATATCAACTTATTTCTATCAGAGAGGCCCAACACAGGTCATCTTGATACTACAACTGCAAAAACTTTTAAGATAAATTCGGGGTTTTATGCGATAACCTTTAATATCGATCAAATTGCATTTTGAAATGCTTGGCAGCAATGAGCTCCAACCCTAAGCACTATTTACTAATTAAAATACTAATGGAAAGGTAAAAATCTAAGAAAAAGTACCTTTGGTGTGATTTTGAGGAGTTTGAGATGAGGGAAAGTGAGAGATTCAAACATTTTGATCTTCTGCCTTTATATAACCGTTCAGTTCTTTGTCATTCGGCGACATTATTCTTATAGCCGATAAAATCGGTGATGCACAAAACACATACTTACCTCGCCGAGGACATCCCTTATTTTGGGGTCCCAACGACAAATTAAGTCGGAGTCCCCGATAGATTCGGCGACTCGCCCACTGGGTCCTTGGCTTGCCAACTTGCACTTCTCACACCTTTCTCACTTTATCCTACAAAATCAGCACACCATTATTCGAACAGAATAATTAAAAGCAGTAAAACCTTGGGTTGCCTCCCAAGAAGCGCCTTATTTTACGTTGTGGCACGACGTAAGTTCTATCTCACTCTTCGTTATTGGGGTTAGCCCCAATGTCACTAGGTGACCCCAACATGTCATTTAGGTGGAGATGATGTACTGTGAAACTCAGGAATGACCTGATTAGCTGGATTGATCTAGAGTGAGATCCAATCATTTGATTCAACACTTCAATATTCTCCTTCATTTCTTCCCACACCAGATCTTGATCAGTGATCTTTTGGAGAATGATTTGAAGTGTGTCCTCGACATGATTTTTCTCCTCATTTCTAGACTTCCTCCGCTCATGAGGGGGTATGTACCTCCCATTGCTATTCCATTGGACTTCCACCTCTAAGATTTTGGTGGCCAAGTCATTTAGCTGAGATACCGGTTCGGTCAGCATGAGGTTCTTTTGGACTCCTTGGCTTATTTTGACCAATTTGCAACTACTCTACTCAACCATACTCATCTAAGTGGACAACACAAGGAAAAACAAAACTAATAGTAAAGTTAGTAAATTACAACTAAGAAGAACAAAAATTCTACTAATCTAAAAATTCTCAAATAACACCACTCCTTGGCAGCGGCGCCATTTTGATGATTATCGAGACCAACGACACTAACCTAAGGTTCGAGTGTCTACGATCGTCGATAGTATAGTAACCCAACAAAAGGTTGGGGTCGTGTCCCAAGGGAGTGATTTTGAGAATTGATAGAAAAATAAATTTAGCTATAACTAGTCGTAGCTAAAGACATTAACGATTAAAAACATAGTAAATTAAAGGGGGCGACAAAAAAGTGTCAAATATCGATAGGGGTTTTGTCACAAGTAGTAAAAACAACAAAATTACAAAAATCAAGTATGGGGAAATGTTCTTGGGGTATGACCGCAATACAAGTTGAGATAAATCGTTGGGTACATGCTTTCAATAGGAAATTTGAAAGATACTAGTGACTAGGATAAACTTTAGATGGAAATAAGTTCCCTCTCGGGCAACTTATCCCGTTTCAAATGGGTTCCTCTCGGACACCCATTTGTCGAATGAAGACCAGTCTGTGCCTTACCCAACTCACTCTCTCGAGATGAGTGTTAGGATATGGGACTAGGGATCACCCTCTCGGGCTGAACCTCATGTCGACCCACTCCTTAGGCCATCAATCTAGTGGTCTTGGTTTCGCGACCTCCTTCTCGGGCAAGCCAAAAAGAATGGGTGGTTTTTAGCCACATATCAAGAAATAATAAAATACACCTAAAATGATACTAAAATCATTGGGTATAAAAATTAAACCTTAGATTTAAGCAAAGGAAGAAGAATAGGAGAAGACCCACTTCTAACTTGGGGAAGATGAAATTCTTCTCCCTTCAAGTCTCCCACAAAACCATCTCCAAACTTGAGAGAAAATATCTAAAAAGTACTATTCTATTCTGAAAATTATAATAATGGTTCGAAACTTATAAAAATTAATAAGAAGTTTAGTATTTATAGCCATCAGAAATTAGTGCTGGCGGATAGTTTGGCGAGGTTAGTCGAGTTCGCCGAATGACTCTGCGACTCGCCCTTCTTCTGTCTCATCGTCATTTAGTGCCTGCCTTCAGCATCTTCACGTTCTGGACCATTGGGTGGTATGGTACAGCCTTACGGAACTATTCGGCGAAGCGCCGACTGCTCCTTTCATCGCCTTTTTTATCCTCTTCCTTTAGAGCATCGTATATTGGAACAAAAGGTGGAGTCTGTCCTTTCGGCGAATTGCCAAAGGTATTTGGCGATGCTCATGCTTCAGCTTCTTCATTCTTTTCAGCCTTTTTGTTACTTTTTATGCCTATGTGTCCATTCTTCCACTAAATCTTTAAATACCTGAAACTTAGCAATTTTCATTAGATATTGAGACAAAATACGCATTGGAGGACACTATTTCTATCAAAATAAAGCCATAAATGAGTGCAGTTTGTGGACTCATCAGTACACAAAGCTTGTCAATGTCGATCAAAGAAGACCAGTTCTTAGGACAAAGGTTGGCATTTGTGGGGCTTTGAGACTTCACCTTGTCCTCGATAATGGGTACAACCTAGACTACATCACTCTCGAGGTTGTAGCCTACTTGGGACTACCTCGACTACAAAGGAATTATCCATACACCATGGAGGGATGTAAAGGTACCAAAGGGGTAAGAGTCTCTTTCACACGCGGTAAATATTATAAGGAGGTTTGGTGTGATATAATGCATGTGGCTTCTTGTCACTTAAGATTGGGGGCCAATTAGTTTACTAAACATGGGGTCCCAAATGATCAGAATGGGTACAAGTGTGTTGTAGATCACTGGGGAACACCACTATTTCCTCTTCCTAAGGTGAAAAATGAGATACAAATGATTGAGACGAGTAAGGGAAAGCAAGGTGGTAACCTCAGAATGAAAAAATGAGAGGTTGAGAGGAGTGAAGTGAGAGGGTTGCCACAATCTCAATCCAACAGTGTTGTTCATCGTTCTGTAGGTACAAGCAAGATGAATGGAGGAACACAAGTTCCCGCCAAAGAGCCTACAATCGAAGGTGTGATGGATGCAGTAATGGGATGTTCTAACATCCAAGGTAAAACAGATCTTTCTTGCGAGGGCGTCAAGGTACAGTAGCTAATCTTAACACTTTTACCACTGCAAATGAACAAAGTGTAAATGTTAGCTGGTATTTATGTGAGCCTATTGATTCTTTACCTTATATTGATAATGTGCTTGTTGAGAGTGTGGATACTCTAGTTGATCCTATTGATGACCAAATTTATTCTTCTAGTAAGATCGATTTGTGTCCACCTAGTGTTGACACCTATGCTTTGAATGCTAGCTGATTATTTTGTAATGATTGTGTTGATCAACCTGTTTGTGAGTGTAATTAAATGGTTGAGGGTTCTTGTATTGTGATTAAGGAACCTCAAGTTAGTGGTACTAATGATAATGTTGATCAATTGAATAGGAGTGACTCTATGAGCATATCTATTGTGGAAGATCCGATTGCTTGCTTTGTTCATAGAGATCATGTGCTTGAACATGCTTCGGAAAATGATATGTGTCTTTTTGAGGGTGAACTTGAATATTTTAATTCATCCCTAGTGGTTGATCATTCCCTCTTTAAGTACAATATCTTATTTAAAAATGATGAAATCACTCCTAGTGATGTACCTAGTGGTGTGAATCTTGAGAGTAGTGTAGCTTTAATAACTATATTGTGTATAGTAATCCACTACGGTGTAAAGCCTTTCCACCCAAAGATGGAAATCTCTTCTTCGAAGATGAGAGTACTCTTGTAGGGAAGGAATGTGATGAGG